TATCCCTGAACACACAGAGATCTTATGGGATTAAAGGCGTGTGCCACCACCGCCACACTCTTGCTATGGCTCTAATAGCTCTGACTCCCAGACAACTTTATTTATTAGCATCCAATCAAAATAATAATTCAGTACAATTAGATTATCACCACACCACATGCTTTAGGTCACCTCATGATGGACACACAGAGCTTGTGGTACCATAACATCAGTGGGGATAACACTAACTCTGTGCTCAGTAGTGACAGACAGGACAATCTTTTTACTTTTACCAAAAATATATATTCTTTAATTCCAGCTATTAAGAAAATCAATGAACAGTAGTAATGCTAAGCAAAGCCCAAGTTTACTGTCCTGATAATTGTTTCTATCAATAAGCATGCAGCATCTGGGGAGAACTAGATGATATATGGATAAAATGGGAAGTGGTTAAGAAAAAGCCAGTAAAATCCTAAACACATTTATAAATCCACATTTGATGACTATTCTTGGTTGTCAACTTGACTGCATCTGAAATTAACTAAAACCCCAAAAATAGAGGGCACATTTGAAGGATAAATCTCATTAATCTTTAACAGTACAAAATCAGGTTCTTATTAGAATAAGAACCTGAAAGATCAGATACAGGAAGCAGCTGCCAGTTGCTTCCTACCTCTACAGTCCCTCCATCCAAAAGGGCCAAGATAATCTCTAAGCCTCACCTTACCACTTCCTGTCTCCTCTCTGTCTCCAGTCCTCCAAACCTTCGTGGTTAATTTTGGTCAGCTGGTGTCTGGCTCCACCCTTTAACTGCAAGCAAGCCTAATTTGTCAGAACACAAACCAAATATCACACAATATTTATCCCTTTTTGTCTAAACAAAAAGCAAAGGTATTACCTGTTGTGGATATCGATCTGTATAAATAAAACACAGTGGCCAGGCAGGAAGTAGGCAGGACAAGGAGAGGAGAATTCTGGGAAGTGGAAGGCTGAGTGAAGGAGACACTGCCAGCCACTGCCATGACAAGCAGCATGTGAAGGTAAGCCACGAGCCACATGGCAAGGTATAGATTTATGGAAATGGATTAATCTAAGCTATAAGAACAGTTAGCAAGAAGCCTGCCACGGCCATACAGTTTGTAAGCAATATAAGTCTCTGTGTTTACTTGGTTGGGTCTGAGCGGCTGTGGGACTGGCGGGTGACAGAGATTTGTCCTGACTGTGGGCAAGGCAGGAAAACTCTAGCTACAATTATCTAACACAGTAAAACTATATACAGTAAGTACAATAAATATATACAAATACATGTAGGCAATAATTATATTAACAATGTCCAGCCCATTTGCATTTAACAAATTCAGAAAAAATACTCCATTATATATCCTAACTTGGTGAGTCCAAAGTGTTGTACCTAATTCACTTACTATCCTAACTTGTATTACCAACCCAAAACTATCTTTTTATGTCTCTCAACCTTATATGCTTTACTGTGAGATTCTTTTCTGAATTTGGTAACAAGGAAAACTGTAACTACTATTTAGTCTTCAACTCCATCAGAAACCTGAGAAGGATATATTATTACCTGGGTAAACAGGAATTGCAAAGCAAAGAGCTTCCAAAACTAAGAAATGACAGAAACAGCTGGCTGCCTGGACAGTCACTCAATGTTTCTTTGTAACATTGGGGCATCTGTCTTCAGTCTAAATGCCTAGAATATCTGACAGACTTTTCTGTGAAACAGGAAATTGAAAGCACTGTTATGCTTTGTATTGGCAAAGTTTGGCAGTCACTTTCTTTTGTGTCCTGATAGTCCAATTTGGGCAGCATACTGTCAGCAGTCAAAGGCAAGAGCAGATTCTTGTCCAGGGCTAACTTTTCCTACAAAGAAAGTAAACCCCATATGGAGTGTCTCCAATGCCCATCAACTTCTTTGAAGTAGATTGGTGTTGCCAGGATCAGACACATCTCATTGTCATAAAAAAAGAGAACTTTATGTTATTAAAACATGTTAAATGTCATATTCTACAGCTTTCTTAAGTGTTTGAAGACCACCTGTCTATTTAAATATATCTCTATTTGACCTCAAAAATACACCTAACATGACTACAAGTTTGATTGTAATAGGTGACTAACTACTAACCTGCATTTATTTATTGTCCTATATAGTTTGTAATAGTAACTTTCAAAGACTAGAATTTACATTACATTGTTAAATGAGCTGTATAGGTGCAATACCTTGAAAAAAAGTAGAAACATATGTACAGTATGCTCTAACAAAATTTACCTTAAATTTGCATCAATATACAAAATATCTTAAACAAGAGTAGAAATATATACAGTATAATAAAAATAACCTCAAATTGTTATCAATATACCAAAATTTATGCCAATGTGAAATATTTAAGACTAGTAGTTGCTTTTTTGGTTTAAAAGTAGGTTCAATAATCTACCCTTTTATCCCATCATTTCTATATCCCCCCTTTTTCTTTTCAGAACAAGATCCTTGAATATAATCTCCTTTGTTTAGCTTTTTTTCTGACCATTACCAATAACAACTTTTAACCACTCCCCTAAACAATGACAAATATCCATAACCCTTTGAAGAACCAAAAACCACCCACCCCACTTCTTGGGAATGTGTGTATCATGTTCTTAAAATTGCTTCCTGTTATTTGGGGGCAACAGCATGTTTAGGGGACCCTGAAAAAAGTTGGGATAATTGTCAAGTCCTGGGAGAGCTAAATGTATCATTTGTTGTTCAGTCTCTGTGTAATGGGAAAGTTCAGGGCTTGTCTTAAGTCCTGGCTAGAGTAATCGGTGAGGCTGGACCATCTCAGTTAGTCACCTTAAAATTGTCCTGAGGAGTTTGTTGTCTAAAACCAATCTTTGGGTGGTGTTTGTCAAGTTAGTGGCATTACCACAATGCAGGTGGAATTGTGTTTTGGGGCTCCATCTTCATTTTGGAGATTTTCTTTTAGGTTACCAATCTGTTTAATTTCAAACCAAAAAAGTCAGCACTAGAAACAAAAATGAAATTTTACCTCAAATATCCAATCGAATAATGAAATCTGAAGTTGTTCACCTCACTAAATTACAAGAAATTTGAATTACAGCAACACAATAGCACATAAAATAAAGTTTGCCACCTGAAGCAGATTAAAACAAGTAAAAAGTTAGACAAATGTTACAAAATAACCTTTTCAATAGCCAATTGCATGTTCCAAGGACTCTTTCATGGACTGATGGACTGAGTTTGTGGCCCTTTCCTCCAGAGTCCTCTGTTAAGCCGTTTGCCGATCCATCTAGATTTGAAAAGAGAAAGGTTCAGCTTAACTTCTACCACTACAAAGGCACCCAAAGTGCAAATGGTTTCAGTTTCAGGTTCGTGCTTACTAAGGCTCAGGTGAAACAAGCAGGTTACAGAAGGTTCCACCTGGCCATCAGTTTTTTCAAGGCCCAAATGAGAATTCTCCTAAAGGCTACCACCAACACAAGTTTGAATGTGATTCTTGGTCAAATATCCAAGGCAAAAAGAAAAATGGCAAGGGGGGGGGGAGTGGGAGGGCAGGGGGGGACTGTATTTAAACAAAAACTTGCTATCAGAAATTAATCTATACTTTAAGATGTTTGAAAATGAAAAGTTGGCAGTTGAGGATGTTCTTAATCAGCTACTTAGGGCCCTTTCCTTTAAAAAAAAAAAAGGACCAAACAATTTGAGAGTTAAAGACACACTATCTCTTCCCCACCCAGTGCAATACCTGTAACTTTCTTTTGGAGTTCCAAAAGTTCATTGCTTTTTAATTGCTAATCATTTGCCACATCCATTAGAGTAAGAAGTCCCAGTCAGTACAACAACAATTGAACTGATTGTTTTTCTCTATGAGGATAGTGCATCTTTAACATTTAAAGACAAACCTGCTCCAATCCACACCCACAGAAACTGGTCCCTGGAAGATCAGCCAAATCAGTTAAAATCTGCAATACTGGCCAATATTCTTTTATCAAACAGGAGACCACAGCTTTAAAGGGGGAAAATGCAGACGTTAGATAAAAAACACCAAGAAATAGTCATTTTCATTAATAGGTCTCAAACAGTATGAAACAGCCATTATTACTTAAGCTTTACACACCCCTCTTCTGAATACCCCTCTCTGAATACCCCTCTTCAGCATTTCTCCCAAAGCCAAGTAACTTCAGAGCAGTACTCTTTAACACCAGGGTCACTCTTATGCTAGCATGGCTCAAAAAACCTACTTCAAACCCCACAGATGGGTCTCGGATTCCTGCAGACATTACCATTTTCTTAAGAGGACACTGATCCTTCTTCCTCTGGAGACTTTGGGGGGGACTCTTGGAGCATGACCTAGATTTGGATTCCCTCTTGGACACGGGGGTGGGGTGGGGTGGGGAGGGGAGGACTTCTGGATCTTGACCTGGACCTGGACCTCGAGTGGGATCTGGAGACCAATGAGGACTTGGACTTGGATCTCAAAGGTCTCTGTTAGGCATGGTCATGGTTCACTGCAGAAAACTTAAAACATTTTAAATATCATAGGCAGCAAATCTCAAAGAGGTTGAAGGACCATAATTTGTTATGTACAACCAGAGAAATAGAATAGTTCCTTAATTTTCTTCTGCACCTTATCAGGTGGCTCTTCTGAAATGTGACAGAGATTTTGGATTTTCTTTTAACAAGCATGCTTGGATTTAGAGAAAGAAGGAGCCACACACCAACTCCAAAGCCAGCTTTAATTTTCAATTGAACTGAGACTACAAAAAGACCATTTGCATTATATGTCTATAGAGAAGAGCAGAAACAAACATTTGGAAAGATTTATTAAATTTTATCTGATTGAAAATGTGATATACCGAAAGGTCTATTTACTCTTTTTCTTGGGACATTGTATCTGGATGATTCATGCCTTATCTTCAGATGTATCATTTGTTCAGTGGTCTTTAGATTCCTTAGCTATATGCCTTCATTCTCCAGGAAAGACAAAAACAAAACCCTCCACCAACCCTAAATTTGAGGAATTTCCCTTTTGGCAAGTTATATCTGATCAACAAAACTGAAAATTGAAGATCAGAAACAATACTCAGTTTAGTTGATTGGCGAGATTAAATGTGTCAGATCCATGAATTTATATTGACAGCCCAAAGAGAAGGATGTGGGGTTACAGAGAGAGATGTTGTTCCTGTCAAGGGGAAAGCAAACTCATGGATAAACATTTCCTGAATGTATGATCCCTTTTAATAAATCTTAAAATCAAAAAAAAAAAAAAAAAAAAAAAAGCAAGACTGCAAGTGTTCCCTGAGATAGAGCCTGCCAGCACCTGACTGATCCAAGAGTTACAATTTCAGGCCAGTTGGCAGGCAGACCTCCTGCAGACAGGCCAGACTACCACCATCTACCATGTGTTAAGACTGCAGTTACTCCCTGAGACAAAGCCCACTAGCACCAGTTGGACTAAGAGCTGCCCCCTGAGAAAAAGAGTCCATCATCATTGACTAGACCAAGAGCTCCCACTGGATCAAGAGTATCAATCAGACCAAAAGAGGCTCCCTCAGACACAGACACCTCTTGCACCAAGTGGAGAAAAAGATAGGTAGATGCCAGTGCAAAAATACAGTCAACAACATAAAAACCAATATGGCTCCATCAGAACCTACATCAGCAAGACCTGAACATCCCAACACAGAAGAAATAGAAGGTATCTACCATAAAAATGACTTTAAGAAGATATTAGAGATCTTAAAAGAGGAAATGAAAAATTCCCTTAAAGAAATTGAGGAAAATTTAAAAAAAAAGGGGGGGGGGAGAAATCAGTAAATCCCTTGAAAGCCAAGAGAAAGCAATTAAACAAGTGAGGGAAACAGTTCAAGATTTCAAAACTGAAATGGAGACAATAAAGAAGACACAAACTGAGGTAATGCTGGAAGTGGAAAATCTGAGTAAACAAACAGGAACTACAGATGCAAGTATAACCAACAGAATGCAAGAGATGGAAGAGTGGATGTCTGGCATTGAAGATACTATAGAGAAAATAGATTCATCAGCCAAAGAAAACACTAAAGCCAACTAAGTCATGACCCAAAATGTCCAGGAAATTTGGGACACCATGAAAAGACCAAACCTAAGAATAATAGAGATAGAAGAAGGAGAAGAATACTAACTTAAAGGCACAGAAAATATATTCAACAAAATCATAGAAGAGAACTTTCCCAACCTAAAGAAGGAAATGCCTATAAAAGTACAAGAACCTTACAGAACACCAAATAGACTAGATCTAAAAAAAAATCCCTTTACCACATAATAATCAAACCACTAACCATACAGAAAAGAGAAAATATTAAGAGCTACAAAGGAAAAAGGCCAAGTAACATATAAAGGCAGACACATAAGAATAACACCTGACTTCTCAATAGAGACTCTAAAAGCCAGAAGATCCTGGACAAATGTTATGCAGATACTAAGAGACCATGGATGCCCACCCAGATGATTATATCTAGCAAAATTCTCAATCAACATAGATGGAGTAAACAAAATATTACATGATAAAACCAGATTTAAACAATATCTCCATAAATCCAGCCCTATAGAAAGCACTTGAAAGAAAAATCCAACCTAAGGAAGTTAGATACACCCATGAAAGCACAGGCAATAGAAAGTCCCATACTAACAAATACCAAAGAAGGGAAACATATAACACTACCATCAAAAAATAGCAGGAATTAACAAAACTGGTCATTAGTATCCATCAATATCAATAGTATCAATTCACATAAAAAAGACACAAGCTAACAGAATGGATATGAAAACAAGATCCATCCATTTGCTACATACAAGAAAATCACAGGGAAAATCTGACAAGATGAAGTCTCAATTCTGAATATTTATGCCCCAAATACAAGGGCACTGACATTCATAAAAGAAACATTACTAAAGCTTTAATTGAACATCAAACCTTATACACTAGTAGTGGGAGACTTCAACACACCACTCTCACCAATGGACAGGTCTGCCAGACAGAAACTTAACATAGAAATAAGGGAACTAACAGACATTATGACTCAAATAGACTTAATAGATAGCTACAGAACATTCCACCCTAACACAAAAGAACATACCTTCTTTTCAGCACCCTATGGAACCTTCTCCAAAATTGACCACAAAGCAAATCTCAACAGATAAAAAAAAAATGAAATAATCTCCTATATCTTATCAGACCACCATGGCTTAAAGTTAGACTTCAACAACAACAAAAATTACAGAAAGCCTACCATCTCATGGAAACTGAATAATGCCCAACTGAATCACCAATGGGTCAAGGAAGAAATAAAGAAAGAAATTAAAGATTTCATTGAATTAAATGAAAATGAATGTATAACATACCCAAACTTATGGGACACCATGAAAGCAGTGCTAAGAGGAAAATTAATAGCACTAAATGTCCACATAAAGAAGTTGGAGAAATGTCACACTAGTGACTTAACAACACAACTGAAAGCTCTAGAACAAGAAGAAGCAAACTCACTCAGGAGAAACAGACACCAGAAAATAATCAAATTGAGGGCTGAAATCAATAAAATAGAAACGAAGAGAATAATAAAAAGAATCAATGAAACAATGAGTTGGTTCTTTGAGAAAATCAACAAGATAGACAAGCCCTTATCCAAATTAATCAAAAAGTAGAGAGAGAGCATCCAAATTAACAAAATCAGAAATGGAAAGGGAGACGTAACAACAGACAATGAGGAAATCCAGAGAATCATAAGGTCATACTTCAAAAACCTGTACTCCACAAAATTGGAAAATCTGAAAGAAATGGATGATTTTCTCAATAGGTACCCCATACCAAAGTTAAATCAAGACTAGATAAATTATTTAAATAGACCAATAACCCCTAAGGAAATAGAAACAGCCATTAAAACTCTCTCAACCAAAAAAAGCCTAGGGCCAGATGGTTTCATCACAGAATTCTACCAGATTTTCAAAGAAGAGCTAATACCAATACTCTTCAAATTGTTCCACCCCATAAAAACAGAAGGAACACTACCAAACTCTTTTTATGAGGCTGCAGTTACTCTGATACCCAAACCACACAATGATGCAACAAAAAAAGAGAATTAGAGACCAATCTCCCTCATGAACATTGATGTAAAAATACTCAATAAAATACTGGATAACTGAATCCAGGAACACATCGAAAGAATTATCCACTATGACCAAGAAGGAGACCACTTCCTAAATATAACAGCAGTAGCACAGACACTGAGAGTGACAATTAATAAATGGGACCTCCTGAAACTGAGAAGCTTTGTAGAGCAAAGGACACAGTCAATAAGACAAAAGAACAGCCTACAGAATGGGAAGATATCTTCACCAACCCCATATCTGACAGAGGGCTGATCTTCAAAATATATAAAGAACTCAAAAAGCTAGACTTCAAAATACTGAACAATCCAATTAAAAAATGGGCTACAGCACTTAACAGAGAATTCTCAACAGAAGAATCTCAAATGGCTGAAAGGCATTTAAGGAACTGCTGAACATCCTTAATCATCAGGGAAATGCAAATCAAAACAACTCTGAGATATCATCTTACACCTGTCAGAATGGCTAAGATAAGAAATACTGAAGACAGCTTATGTTGGAGAGGATGTGGAGCAAGGGGATCACTCTCCTCCACTGTTGGTGGGAATGCAAACTTGTACAGCCACTCTGGAAATCAGTATGGCGGTTTCTCAGAAAATTGGGAATAAGTCTTCCTCAAGACCCAGTTATACCACTCTTGGGCATATACCCAAGGAATGCTCAATCTTACCACCAGGACACGTGCTCAACTATGTTCATTTCAGCATTATTCGTAATAGCCAGAACCTGGAAACAACCTAGATGCCCCTCAACTGAAAAATGGATAAAGAAAATGTGGCACATATACACAATGGAGTATTACTCAGCAGTAAAAAACAATATCATGAAATATGCAAGCAAATGGATGGAACTAGAAAATATCATCTTGAGTGAGGTAACCTGGACTCAGAAGGACAAACATAGTATGTACTCACTCATAAGTGGATATTAGATGTGAGGGAAGGGATGGCCAGACTGCAACCCACACTGTCTCATTGCCTCCTCCATAGAAGGACCCATGAAATGAGACAAATGAGCAGCATATAAAAATGAAAGATTTGCAAGATTTCATTTGCAGAGCAGTGGCAACCATCAAATGTTGAAATACAAACAAAGGAGACAACTGCTCTTATTTTTGAGTGTGGACTGAACTTGGTGTAGAAAGTCCAGGTGAGATCCTCAGAGTCTTCTCATCCTGCTTTGCTCTCCAGACCTACTCTGGAGTCACTGAGTAGAGAGAAAGAAAGACAAAAAGAGAAGGGAAAGGAATGGTCAGAGAAGAGAGGAAAAAGGAGAGATAAAAGAAGAGGAAAACAGACAGGAAAAGAAAATGATGAGAAGAATGAAGAT